AGTTACCTAGTAGGCTGAGCCCGTTTTGCCACATCTAAGCAGATGAAGACTTCAGAGAGCAATACATAATGGATGTAACTTCATCCACCACACACTTACGGCGGCAATTCTTAGCCGTCACAGCGTCCCCGTAGAACCCATCGGCGCAGCGTTCACAGTGGGCTCCCCCCGTGTTCCCGATGCACTTGAGGCACTCCCCAGTGACAGAGTCACAGTGGCCAGGCTCCAAGGGGTCCACATTGCCGCTGCAATTGCACGGGACGCAGGATGCCCCAGGCACTGTTGGGTTTCCAAAGTAACCGTCTGCGCATCTGTATGAAAGATTGAAAGCAGCATCCAAATAAATGCAGTTATTCGAGAAATTGCCAGAGCATCCAGGGACCCTCTGAATGGTTAATAAATCAGACTGACTACTTTACTTAAGAGTTACTGTGGAAGGAATGCAACCCCAAGTGCAGGCATTCACAGACTTTCCGCACCCATTGTGAAGAGAAGGGAGTGCGTCCATAATGAGGCTGGCTGTGGATGTGTCACTGGGGCCAGCTCCACCCCGCCCAGCCCACCCCCTCGCTGGCCCTTCACAGAGCTGGCACTGAGACTTACATGTGGGAAGAGACTACATTGGCTTCCGAAGGGAACAACCACATCAAATCACCCGTCACACATGGAATTATCCGGAGTGATACAATCATTAAACGTGTCAGAACTGTCATACCCACCCCTCACTGCTTCATACTGCCCTGGATGGGAATTCGGATGACCACACGGAGATATAACACTGTTCTATAAAAATTCCCAGGAAGTTTGAAAATTAATTTTTTAAATGATGTACTAGTCTTTCTCTACAATTACATAAAACAATAATTACATGTTAAAATTCCATAAACATACGTAACTGCACACGAAAAATACACACGTGTCATTTGTATTTCATGAGAACACTTAATGCAGCTTTTTAAAGGCAGCCGAGTGAAGCAGAGTACCTCTCGCACCAAGCGCCCGTGTATCCTGGGGCACACTGGTCACACAGCACTTCATCTCTGTCATCCACGCGGCAGGTGGGGCTGAAACTATCAAAGGGAGAGATGAGCACAATG